AAGTGGAAGTTAACAAAAAATGTGTTAGGCAATGAATATGTGAAATTTCTAGTTTAACTATGAAATAAATGTTCCCATTGTATATTGTTCATTCTAAATTATTTCTTTAGTGCTCCAAGCTCAAAACGATTATTTTTGGCCTTATTTCTGAAATTATTTTATTTCCGAATTTTTCACGTGTACTATGTTCCTATTTTCATTTTGTTTACATCATGGTGGAAACCATGGGTTTTATTTGGGCACAAAACACATGAAGTAGAATCATATGGTGCATATTCATGAATGGGGGGCAGGTTTTGGGGATCAGAATCTTGAACTTGCACTGCTGTGGCATTTCATTGTAACTACATAAATATCCTGCGGCAAAGTATGGAGAGAAGAACTCAAGTGCAAAGTTTAAGTATATAATCCTCAAACTGTCTGTCCTTTAATTCCATCCTGGAAGGAAATTATTATAGGTTTCTTCAACCTTGAGAGCCTAAAGGTTGTTAGTATGTGTTACAAAGTACTCTATAGAGTTGGGATAAAACTGTAAGAAAAAGAACATGACTCCTTCAGGGTTATGGGGAAAAATTATTTAAACCTTATTAATGAAAACGTGAGACTTGTGATACATCCTGCAGCAAATAGTAGCAAAATGTAATGGCAGGAGTTAACTATGAATCATGAACATACTGTTCTGGTTCTCTGGATTCAACTGCCCTCTCAGATAACTGCTCCCTTCATTTTCCAAAAAAAAGGAATGGCATTAATGATCCATCAGTTTGTCATTGATAGTATCGCACAGCTATTACTATCTTCCCCTGCATTGTTTCTACCACATAATCCGTCCCTAGCAAACAAGCTATCACCATCATTGCATGAAAAGGTCAGTCCCTGTAACTCATCTAGAGAAGAGTGCCCTGATCATAACATGCATGACAACCTCAAGGGTGATTTTGCAGTATTCTCTGCCCCTACCCCATGCAAATTCACACAAAATTAAATCTGACAACTCCGTGTCCTTGCTGTTCCAGGGAACACGGATATGAATGGGTCACACACAATGAAGTAGGCCCCTTCATCTTATGACTGCTCCTCAGAGACCATCAGGAAAGGCTTAAGATCAACAGATTTCAAACTTGAGGGTGAAACTCATAAATAAAATGTAACTCAAACTCATTAAATATAGCCTTTTCAAGAAAACTCAGGTAAGTATCTTATACACAGAAAATCATGAGCTACTTCCACACATGTCCTTGTTCCCATGATATAGGAGTTTTAACAATTTTTGACATAATTATCATGCAGTGTGAAACATTTCAGGTTAATCTCCGAGATCTAAAGTCCTAGTTATTCCAGTCGGATCCAATTATTCCTGGATTCTCTAATGTGTGGTCTGTTCTGTGAACTGGTCAAAATACTTATCATATTTGTAAGGATTTGCAAGGAATCTCCCAGTACCAATTTGTTGGTGAATCCTAAGGACGCACAGTTTCTTAAAGGTATTTCCACATTCAGCATATTTGGTATAGTTTCCCTGCATAAATTCTCTCATTACTCCAAAGGTGTGAGCATTTAATGAAAGCCTTATGACATTATTTCCATTTGTAAGGTGCCTCTTCAATATAAATCCTCTGATGTTTTGGCCTTGGGGCAAAAGCCTTAGCACGCACATTAGTTTTCTGTGATTTCTCTGCAAGGACTGGATAATGGCTCTGCCACAAACACTTACATGGTTTCCTTTCAACATCGATTCCTGTTGCAAAATACTTGGAACTCAAGCTAAGAGCTTTGCCACACTCATTGCATTTATAAGGTATATGCTCTAGTATGTTCCCGAACTTTTGATCTTTGGGTAAAATCCTTGTCACACACATTACATCTGTGTGGTTTCTCTCCAGGATATTTACTCATATCCAGTGAAGAGTACTAATTTAAAACATTGCCACATTTGTTGCATTTGTAAATATGAATGATTTGGTGAATCCGGAGTTTAAGGCAATACCTGAAAGCCTTGCCACATTCGGTACATTTATAAGGCTCTCTCCAGTATGGATTATCTGATGACTGGTGACGGGTGAGCCTCGAGTAAAGGCTTTGCCACGCTCATGGCATTTGTAAGGTTTCTCTCCAGGATGAATTCTTTGGTGAATCCTGAGGTCAGACCATTGTCTAAAAGCCTTGCCACGTTCAATACATTTGTATGTTTTTTCTCCAGAATGAATTTTCTCATGAAGTCTAAGGTGTGAACCCGTGATAAAAGCCTTGCCACACTCATTACATTTGTAAGGTCTCTCGCCTGTATGGATTCTCCAGGGATTTATAAGGTGTGAATTTTGACTGGAGACCTTGCCACACTCGTTACACTTGTAAAGTTTCTCTCTGCTATGGATTATTTGATGTGTACTGAGGTGTGAGCCTTGAGTAAAGGCTTTTCCATACTCATTACATTTGAAAGGTTTCTGTCCAGCATGAATTCTTCGGTGAATCCTGATGTCAGACCATTACCGAAAGGTTTTGCCACATTCAACGCGTGGATAGGACTTCTCTCCAGTATCATTTCTCCCATGATGCCTAGGGTGTGAACGCTTGGTAAAGGCTTTGCCACATTCATTACATCGGTAAGGTTTCTCTCCAGTATGGATTATCTGATGTTTAGTGAGGTGTGAGCCCTGAGTAAAGGCTTTGCCACACATGGCATTTGAAAGGTTTCTTTCCAGCACGAATTCTCTGGTGAATCCTGAAGGCCTTGCCACATTCAGTACATTTATATGGTTTCTCTCCAGTATGACTTTTCTGATGGTCAACCAGGTTCGAACTTTGGATAAAAGCTTTACCACACTCATTACATTTGTGTGGTTTCTCTCTGCTATGAATTCTGTGATGTTTTACCAGTTTTGAACTCTGGCAAAAAGCCTTGCCACGTTCACTACATTGGTAAGGTTTCTCTCCAGTATGGATTAGCTGATGGTTTGTTAGGCTTGAACGTACACTAAAGGCTTTGCCACACCCGTTACATTTGTAAGGTTTCTGTCCAGCGTGTATTCTCTGGTGATTTGCAAGGTGTGAATTTTGACTGAAGAGCTTTTCACATACATGACATTTATATGGTTTCTTTCCTGTATGAATTATCTGATGTATGCTGAGGTGTGAACCCTGATTAAAGGTTTTGCCACAGTCGTGACATTTGTAAGGTTTTTTCCCCATGTGATTTCTCATCATGTGTTAGTGTCGAAGGCTGAATAAAATCACTCCCATGTTTATTAGAAATGTTGGTTTGGACACTAGGAGAAATTTCTTGAAGTGGTGAAACTGAGGAACCAGTGTTGACATGCTTATCAACTTGATTACATTCATAGATTTTCCCTTCAGTATGAAACACATGCCATTCATCCTGAAAGCTTAATCCAGGCCTATTTACAACAGGCTTGTTTCCTGCATCCCTCGTACCAGATTGATCTCTTCTATCAGTGAGGCTACATTTACGGGTTACAGGCATGTCTCTAATTTATTTCTTCATCTCTCCACTGCCACTCAAAGTCATACACATTTTTCTGGATTTCCCTGAAGCAAAAATCTTTGATTTCGTGGCCTTTGTGCCCTTCCAACATCATTGCCTGAAATACTTCTCCTGTATTACTATACTCCTTTGGTTGTAATTTCTTGATCACGTGTGTAGGAGA